AATACCATTAGTACAGTATTACTATCAAAACTGCTACACAACCACTGCTACCACCCCTACAATATCACCAACACAATCACAACCATTTCTACCATCATTACCACCGTGCCTCTGTTGTATCTTCCGTCTTTAGTTCTACCGTCGTTTTACTCTCCCCATCTCGTCTAGTCTTTTACTCTACCCATCTCGTCTAGTCCTCACCATCTTACGCCGACACCTCCTGTCTCCGATCCCCATCCTCCAAAACTCATCCTAAATACCAGCTGCTTTCATTACATCCTCCATCCTCTCCTACCCCTGATATGTGGGCCACGTGACCACAAGCCAGATCTGGTATCGAAACGCTGTAGCCAAGGTTCACCATATGTAAACATTTACCTATATCCATCTCCTTCGGTGCTAAAGTTTAAAAACATCTCAGGCGATTGAAAAGTTATGTCTTGTACCTGAAGTATGTGTGTTAATTTTTTTTTTCGGATAACATGCAGGTTAGCCCCCTTCCCTTCCCTCCCCTAGATTTTTTTCTCGCCTTATGATTAACCATCGTAACCTAACTTCATCTAGCCCCCAGGTAGCACTAGGGTTTTTAATCATCAGGCGAAATAAGTGGGGGTGGGTAATCTTCATGTGTTTCATTATGATTCTTAACAATATGTAACACAAAATAGATTAAAAGTGTACAAATAGAACTACAACAAATATGCACCATACAGCACAGCGTGTTACTGTACAGCGCAACAGTTGTTACAGTAGCTACGTCAGCATCAAATGGGCTCTTGTGACAGAACCTAAGTCGCAGAGTAACAATTGGTTTTATAATTACAAAGGCGATAAAAAAAAGTTGTTCTGGCGGCATATGGTGTAGATAAACTTTTTAAAAATAAATAAATTCTCACAAGTATCTAAGTCGGATTTAAGCTCAGGACAATTTTGCGGAAAGGAGGAAGCGACACAGTTCACTCGGTTGGGGTGGATTTAAAAGTATTCATGTCTACAAAGTACATTATATGATAGTTACTTCCTGATACAGTGGCGAAGTCTCACTCAAGTCATTAAAAGAAGCTGAAAATATAATTCGCTATATTTTGAACGAGGACGTCTTCTACTGGAGGTCTCCTACAAGATCACCACGGGTTATAGCTGTAGGTTTCACATCTGCACTTCGTAAATATTTTAATTCCACACACATTTCCCACCTGTCGTCTGAAGTGATCCCCACTGAGCTTATACCAAGCCTTAAAAGTTACCTTAGAAATTCCTCACCCGCCATTCCAATATATTTTCCATAACCGATATTGATCTGTCTCTTCCAATATCCTATCTGGTCGCTGATATCAAACACAGGCAGTTGGTCTGTTCTTTGTTATGACTTATTGTTAATTGTTAGTACAGGAAGAAACCTGCGATGTTTGGTAAGGTCACACATATATCCCTGGCCAGGAATTCCCACAACCGTGGGAAGTACGTGCATTACCGCAGTATCACCGAAATATATTCATCGACGGAAAAAAATATCAACTTACTGACGGTACACAACAAACCACAAGTTCTACGTAACACTAAAAACTTGTACATTTCATTTGTGTTCAAGGGATTAAATTCCACAACACATCAGTCTTACTCCAATAACCGGCAGTATTTGTGACGGTGGTGTTAAAATATATGGCGTTCAGCTCCCCATCTTCCTCTCCGTCCTTGGGTACCGAGAACTCTCTCGGTTCTCAGAATTCGCACCACCAGTAGACCACATAAAAACTAGTTAGTCTATATCAACCCTCGTAGGCAACAATGGATCAAGAACCTGACAATCCTTCATATATAATGGAGAACTAAGGGGGAAACACAACCATCTGACTGAGTTGGGTTTCTTTAATTACTAACGTCTCGTAAAAACATTTTCCATCATCAGAGGCTAGAAAACAGACAAAAGGTAAAACAAAACAAAAATACAGGTAATATACAATAAAAACGAAAGATTCTAAAACTTACCTTCCGCAAGTTTTAAAAGACCATTATAATTTAAAACCAATAAAAATGACGGGAGACCTACGTACACAGCTAAAATCAGAAAATAAACATACAAGAGGTATTACCTTAATCGAGACGAGCCTTAGTGAGAAAAACAACAGTTCACAGGAAGCCGTATCACAAATGGAAGGCTTTACTTTGATTATATTTTCCATGGTGGGACTCTCCTAGCTGGAGTGTTGAACTTTTGCAGGGACTGGTATGAAAGTTGGGGCTACTGTAGGTAACACGTCGGGTGGCTCCCTGGCCAAAGCTGGGTCTTCCACTCTGGCAGTTTTTATATACAATGAGACTCATTCTTCAGGTCATTGGCTGCTATGGCCAATGATAAGGAATCTGGTAGTGCAATCTGCGAAGCCGTGCAAATGCCTTGCCCCTGAACCTGAGCGGGAGCACAGCTTATCTTCATTGTGTGATGTGCACGTACGAGAGATTAATTTTCCCAACATGAACTTCACAAGAACATCTTACTCCAGTAATTTAGGACTGTTGAGGGTGAGGTAGTAGACAGTAGGCAGCTATCAAACAGGGAGGTACTACCGCCTGGAAAGATATTGGAAGTATAACGTATTGTCTCATGGTAGACCCTGCTGTCATATGGCATCACGAAAATTGTGACGAAGTCCCAGGTTGCTGATCTGACTTTCTGCCTCATTTACACACTATTGCAGGAAAATTTTAACCAAGTTCCAGGTTGCTGATCTAACTTTGTCTCATTTACACACAATTGCAGGGTCTCTCTCAATTGTTTCTTTTACTTTGTCAACACAACATATATCGTTTCTCACTATTTATCTTTCATTTTTGTATATATTATTACTTTTATTTTTTATTATAAATTTTATTTACTATGAACCAATTATTATTATTACATTTTTAGCCCCCCCACCCCCGATGTGGGTCAGTGACCTGTGCCCGGGAGGGCTAATTCCTGTAAAAAAAAAAAAAAAAAAATACCGTCAAACACCGGTATAATTTAACTTGCAGTCCATTTTGTTTATGTTCATGTATGTGGTCGCTCTGGTAAGAGTATCAAGTAGGTTGCCATTTACAGGATGAAATATTTACGCCCCAGATAAAGTAACTGTAACCTGTTCAGCGACGTTACGGGTAGAGCCGGGGTTCCCGAGCATTTTCCAGTGCTCCCCGTCTTGTACTGTCGCCTATCCAGTGTGACCCCAAATCATTACATATGCTGTAAATATGACGACCTTAGAGTAAATACTATCGGATTGACTACATATTTAGCTATAAAAAGCAAGTAAGGAAAATGTATTACATAATTGAGAAGTCTACAAGTAAACACTGACAGAAACTGGCACGACTACGATGTGGTATATCTTGCCTTTAGCAAAGCCTTCGACAGTCCCCCACGAAAGACTAATAAGAAAAGTGGAGGCTCATGGCATTGGAGGAGATATTCTAAAATGGATTAGGGCGTGGTTATAGGACAGGAACCAGCGAGTGAGCATTAACGGACTAAATCCGTTTGGAGTAACGTCACTAGTGGAGTACCCCAAGGCTCAGTACTTGGACCATTATTATTTATTATATACATAGACGACATAGATATCGGCGTGGACAGCAACATAAGTAAATTTGCTGAGGACACTAAAATAGGGTGTGTAATTAAATCTGACGAAGACTCCGTAAAACTACATGAAGTCCTAAACACATTTTTCGAATGGTTTGAAAAGTAGCAGTTGAAATTCAATGTGGACAAATGTAAAGTACAGTACTTGGTCTAGATGTAAACAGAGAAACCAGATGAACAACGATGTTAAAGAAATCCGACTGAGAAAGATTTAGGAGTAATGACAAGTAGGAATCTTAATCCAAGTAAACAATATGTATTTCCTCGGAAAAAGGGGCTAATAAAGTACTTGGGTTCATACAAAGTAGGGTTAGTTCAAGACTAGCCTCAAACATACGATGCCACGGTCTTTCAACCATTATGCAAAATGGTATTCACAACTGCGGGCCATCACACATGCTACATCCTATTATTGTTGCCGGATACAGATAAATGGATACGGTATGGTGGTGGACAAAAGGGGATACTCCGACACCAAACAATAATGATGGCAAAAAATTAAAGGTTTAGTTTCCTCACAGGTTGAGTTAAATGTCACACTCCCTGGACACTGATAACCCGAGCAAGTGTTGTTCCAGGGAGTGCAACAACACCGCCCCCTCCTCTCCACATAGTTAATTAACAAGTGTTTTAATATTAAAAGAATATAAAACAAGCAAATTAAATTAGCCTCTATCCACATACTAGTTTAGGAGCTTCGGAACAGCATACAGTATCACGAGTCATTTGTCCAAAATAATGTTTGAGACGGTGACAATAATGGACCCAACACAGGCAAGTGCAGCATGCGGAGGACATCAACACGACGATTCTTTAATTTAATGAGGCCGTCAAAGTTAACTGGCGTCAACATGTGTAAGGAGATTAGCTCACACATGTGTACCACAACAAGCGTCCTAGATAACAGGTATAGTAGGAGCAACACACGAATGTACCACACCAGGTGACTATAGGTGTAGAATCAACAAGTGCCTGGTAATCTACACCACCAAACACGAGAGGAGGAAAATCAATATGGGTCCAGCCGACTCGGCTGACTCAATGAAGTTCTACCCCGTCTGACAGTCCTACTTGTACCACTAATCCCCAGGCCCACATAGCTGAGAAACGCCCTCTAAAGTTTCCATTTATACTATCACTCCACCTATGAATGCCACTGCTGCACTGTCCGTAACTAGAGTTAGCTGTCATTTAGTGAATGCAGCTCATTTATAGGGTATGAAGTTGTACACAGCGTGAGGCAGTGTGCCAAACAATCACATGTAATCTACCCCCCAACACCAGATCTGAATTTGGGCATATTCAAGACGGCCAGACTTCATGAGCAACGTTCACCTACACTTAAATAAGAATTGATAAATTAAGACATCACACTTACATTTTAGAGACTGCGTCTTCAACGTGGTGTCCCTTTAAGCTCAAAGATAGCTCCTCTTCCACAGATTTGGTTACGTTCACTGGCCCTCGCGCGGTCGCGTCCCACACTAAATAGGATGACGGGTGTTTAAAACGTAGGTCTGGCAGCGCAGCGTGTGACGTCCTTTCATACCCTCGTACGATAACTTTGTTTACCCTGAGATATTCAATGTGTCTGTAAATGCCAGTTTGTATTCGTAGTCAGGGATTACTTATATTCACGTTTGAAAATATCTAGGAGGAACGAAAGAGCTTATGATTCACGGCTGCCTCATATTCACATGACCTTGTAATGATGCAAATTGAGTTGTACTTATAACTAAAAAATGTAGGAGTTGTGACGGCAAAATAAAATCACCATAGTATTAATTGCTGGACAGGGATTAGGGAAAAGCCAGTATTTTAATAAATAAAAAGAAGATATTACTTCCTTAAAGTATAACAAGAAACGAATAAATCCGGGAGTCGAAAAAGAAGAATGGACGAGTACCGAGAATATCACATATTTTAACAGCAAATTAAAGATTAGAATACTTTAAAGAGTAATTAGTCATTTCAAATAAAGTGATATTTCTGCATACGAACAATAAAATGTTGGAAAGTTAATAAGTCATCTGGAAAACGTAGAGACTAGAAGACAGGAAAATTTATTTAAGTGGAAAATGGTACATTCGACTGCTGAAAAAACATAAATATACTCGTAAGCCACAGGAGCTAACGAGTTGATATATTTGGAACTCTTAAGAAATGGAATGTAAAATATGTTGTCATACTCGGTAAATATAAAGACTGATAGAAGTGAGAAAATAAGAAAAGCTAGTGTATGTTCTCTGCTCGGTCACATGCCTTAGCAGTAGATAACGAATATTGTACAGTAGAATTACTTTGATTAGATTTAGCTGCATGTTAATGGCAACACAGATTGGAAGCCATTATCGCTTTCAGTGATAAGTGTGTGTGTGTGTGTGTAATGATGAAATGGGTATGTTACAAGTTCAGCTTGGTACCATACTCTACTTAATTTCTCGAGCTGGAGCAAATACCAATAAAAGATAGTTTAATATTTTAAACAAGTTTGTTTAATATAACATAATTGTCTATTAGTTCATATGTTATTCAAATTATATACTATTACATAGGCACGTAGTTCCTTTTTGTAGCAATAAACATTTATTTGAATGTAAACGTTTGCAGGGGTGATAGGCAGGGACTGGACGCAACTGAATTAATTAATATATTGAAAAGCAGTGTATGACCCCAAAAGAGTGATAATATATAGCAAATATTTCCTCCGGATGAGTAGAGCACTGTTGAAGGAGAGTAGTATGAGAGTGAACCTTGGCCTCAGCTGCAGCTTACACTTGTTGGAATTGAGCGGCCTTCCCATTTTCCAGCTTATCCAACAAAAATTACAATTACGAAGAAACATCATTAAATGAGACCATTTGTGAAAAGTATCTGGGTTTGTATGTTTACAACGAACTGAAGTTCTCGGGCTAATGTGAGAAGAAGATAAATCAAGCAAATACGTTTGTACGTCTTATAAGAAGGTTGTTCGCAAACCTAGACGATGCGGCCCTCATAAATTGGTTGAAAATTACTAAAAGAGCTCCACCAGACTGGTGCCTGCACTCAGTACTCAAGAGATTAGAGCGCCTGAAGTTGCCTCGCTTAATTGTGCTATAGACGGGCAAGGGGTAACTTAATAGAAGTGTGTAAGTAGATCAGAGGACATTACTCAGTCGAGAGTTCATACCTCGAACTAGCAGATGCCCATTTCACTGCAGGTTACAGCCTCAAGTTGAAGAAGCCATAGGTTCAGAAAAATCTCAGGACGTAATTATTTTGGGGTGAGAGTTGCGAACTCTTGAAATAATCTGAGCTTACTCAAGATTTGACCATCGCTAGCGCAGGTACAGATATATTTTGGAGTCAATGCATCCCCAATACTTGCCAACATTGCTTAACAGAGACGTGGTCGACCGTCCAACCAGCTAAAGTAATACCTGCTCTGTTTGAGTCTTGGAGCTGGCGGACGCTCGCCCCACAAGGGGTCACAGCTCAAGAATGAAGAAGCAGCAAGTCCAGAAAACTGTGAGGGCAAACTTTTTCGGAGTGAGAGCTGTGAACTCTTGGAAGAATCTGCCAGAAAGTGTTGTGACGGCACCGAGTGTGAGTTCTTTAAAGGCCAGACTTGACCAACACTGGAGCAGGTTCAGGTACATTCAGGAGCCGGTGCATGCCCAGTACCTGTCAACAGTGCGTAACAGAGAGCCAGTACATGACTAGTATTTGCCAACAGTGCGTGACAGAGACGTGACCGATCGCCCAAGCGGCTAACGAGCCGATCGGTGGTGAAGAGGATAAAAGTAAAAAGTAAAAGTCACTCTGCCTCAGTCCCCGGCCTCAAATCCCTGGTGAGGGGGTGGGGGAAAGAAGGTTTTCTATGATAGAGTAATCTCGGTGGAACTAAAAAAAAATACCCGATTGTCTTTTTTTGGCCAAGAAATTTGTGCGTCATGTTTGTTGTGGAATAAAAGGGTTACTTGCTTTTGAGACTACTGAGAAGATTAGATGAGGCTGGGGCTGGTTGAAATAGGGAGATGACTTGCCATTACGAACCAGTTTGATGGATGAGATGGAGGCAGGTAGCATGGCTTTCACTTAATTTTATATACTTTACCTAATGGCCACCCAAGCTAGAGGTATCCATGCCGAGGAAAGAAGGTCAGTGGTCTGTGTAGGATCCCTCCACTGTTTTTGATAGTCTGTTATTGGCTATTTTTAAGCCAAGTGCTGTTCTCGGTTCCAGAGCTTAGCTGGTAGACTGCTTTCGTAGGTCTACCACCGTCTGTGTAAAGAAGTATCTCCTTATATTCGTACTGCATGACATAGTGGCGAGCTTGAAGTTGTGTCCCCTCGTGTTAGTGGTGAGCAACATCACGAAAAACTGGCCTGGGTTCATGTTTTCCATCTCTTTCAAGATTTTGAATGTCTCTTTGAGATCCACCCTACTGTGTTTTGTCAAAAGACGTGTATTCCTAAGGCCTTGAGCCTACTTAGTAAATAGAGATGATATTGTTTAGGAATCATCTTAGTCGCATTATAGGGGTTTTAAGTCTTTCTGGCGGTATGGTTTCCATGCTTGTATACAGGAATCCAGATTGGGACGTACCAGATGATTATAAAGAAGAAGGATTTTTCTTATTTTTGTATATGAAGGCAGGACATAATTACTAAATCTCGGCTGGCTGTTTCCGCTTGTTGCGCTGCCTAAAGTGATTGAATGATCAAAACGCCTAAATATTTATCCCTATCAACAGTAACCATAAACGTGTTCTCAACAGAAGAAAATGTGATAGGGTTGTTGTATCCTGCGTGCAGTCTTATATCTTGTAATGTTAAAAAGCATTTGCTAGTGTTGTGCAGATATTTTTGCATGGTTGTGAGTTCATCTTGACTTGCAATGTTCCCAAACTTGTAAATGATGCTCGATATATTTTCATACATGTCGGTAATGTGATTATAAACAGGGTGGGTCTAAGAATTGATCCTTGTGGTAATCCAGTGAGTTCTTTTTTTTCCATTTGGAATGTACTCCGTTTACGATCAAACTTTGTTGCCTGTCTTCTAGCACATTGTTAATCCATTTCAACATTGTGTCTGAGATGCGGTGTGCCTGGATCTTAGAGGCTAGTCGTGCCTAAGGGACTTTGTCAAACACCTAAGAAAAATTCAGGTACAACACATAAACTGGTACACCTTGGTCCACGTAGCCTGTTAACGTTTCAAAGAAAGTGAGTATGTGAAGCAGGACTCTCTCTCCATGAAACCAAGATGTGATGTGTGGTCGGTCGTATGTTGGGTGGTGGCGTCCCTCACAATTTCATCATAGAGTTTGCATATAATGTGATGTTAGACTGAATTGCCAGTAGCTTTCTACCGGATTTTTCTACCTTTCTTGATTACTGGGGTAACGTTGGCTGATTTAAAGTCCTTGTGCACTTTTCCTTGATCCAGAGATTTTGTTATCAGGATTCTTAGTGGAGTGCAAACCCTGTGTGCCATTTCCTTTATCATCTTGGTCTATGCTCCGTCCACTCCAAGGCTTTGGATTCTTTCAAGCTAGCTCTCTTTCTTTAGAAGATGGCGTCTGTAATTACTCTCTCTCTCTCTCTCTCTCTCTCTCTCGTAATTCAATTTCTAACCCTTTGGTACGTATTCTCCCAGGTACTTGCATGCTAGAAATAGCCTCTTATGTGAACACTGTTGCAACATAATAGCTTACGACACCACCTGCCTGTTTATCATCCTCCAGAGCCGCGTTATTTTCGTCGTTAAGAAAGCCAACAGTATCTTTGGTTTTCATTTTGTTCCTCTGATATGCATAAACAAACTTGAGCTCTTTCTTAATATTTCGAGCAAATTTCATCTCGAAGTGCCGTTAGGTTGATCTCTTTTCCTGATTGGTCACACTTATGGCTCTTTTGCATATACCTCCCTTGTATACCTGTTTAAGCATGACCATTGCCAGATGTGTTATATTAAGATCAACAATACTCGTTGATTAGGGCTAAGACATTAGAATAGCTCACATGCCATGACCACAAAGAAGCTGCACACAGAAACACAACCTATTATGATGGCTAGTTGGGGTATCCTTGATCAAATCGACTTAATACTCTTTGTTATTGTTTGTATACCTGTATCGTCTAAGCACATTGTATACCTGCACTGTCTATGAACATGCTAAATCAATATGAAATTGTATAACGTCTATATTTATTTTCATCTTGGATTTTTTCATTGTTTTTGCATTAATTACTGAATTAATAGCCACTGATCTAAACCCTATCGAATTAATTTGTAATATATCTTAATATACTGCATCAAATCCAATATAAAGTAGGACTGCTGGGTTAGGTTGCTGAACTGCCTCAGGTGCTCAGTGAGTGGCAGATTATGTGTTCAGGAGACCACGTAATATATCGCAACCTTAATCGCTGTGTATAAGCATGACCTCAATGAGATGTCTAGGAATAAACATGTAAAAAAGTATACCTTTTATACACTGATTACCTGGTCTAA